AAGGGCGCTAGTATAATTACCAGTGCAATAAAAAACGCCCCTAACTTGCAGTTTTCTCTTTGATTTGAGAGCATTTAAAAAGTGAATTTCTTTGTTATGTGTTTGTGTAGATCCTGCTCTGTTTTGAAATCGAGCGTGTGATGGTTTGTGTTCGTTTGTGACTACGGAAAACATGTTTAAGAAGGTTTTGTTTTGCGATTTTTTCATTGTTACCGAGGAGGAAAGGTGATTTATTCTCATTTTATTTATTTAAATACTTATATGCGTAGATGGAAGAACGAGCACACGGCCCACGTGGTTTACAGTGGTCATCATAGACATTTAGCCCACTGAGTTTCTCGCCGGATCTTCGCAGTGTGTCGCGTTTCCGATCCGGTGGTAGATTCTGCGAAGCACTGCTCTTGCTAGGGCCAGTGTTAGCAAAAGCCCGGTTTGAGCCCCGTGAGCTCACCTACACGTCAAGGAGACGCTGAAATAGCCTCTCAAGGATATCAGCATAGGTAGGAAAAAAAAATAGACATCACATATGAATTACAAATGGCACGCATTACTACTTCGCAGCAGAAATAGTGAAATAGAAACAACATGATCATATTCCAGTCCTGCGTTGCATCCAGCGGATTCTCACGCCCTTCAATGGGTCGCCGGTCCACCGGGAAACCTATCCACGTAACGACTCTCGGTACTCCGACGCCTTTAGAGAACTCTTTGGCCCCAGCGATTATCTGTTCTACGAGCAGTTTGCCGTGCCCACTGTCACTTCATCCTTGCTCCGGCGAATCTCCTCATTCCTAATTTGATCTGGCGATTTAACCATTGAAGTTTGCGCACGGCGGGAAGTCGTTGGATGCGGAAGGCGGAGGACCGCATTATGTGGAAGGCATTGGGGAAGGCCTATGTCCAGCAGTGGGCAGATAAAGGCTGATGATGATGATGATGATTTAACCATCTAACCAATTAAAAATAAAATAAGAATTATTCACAGGACACTCTATCCTCAAATGGTCGTTATGTTCAACTTGAAATCCTAGACATCCGACCTTACGGTACTGACGTCGGGAATACCCGTTCGTAGCGTTAACCTAACACCGCTCTGACATTTTTTTGGCTTCCGCACAATCCAATTAACGCGACGATAATTGAATTCTAAATAGGAAAAACGTTTATAGTTTCCTAGTACAAGGAAACTTTCCTTGTATTTAATTGTGAGGTAAAACTTTGGGACATCGTAAAATGGTTGCGTACTTTTTTTTAATTGATTTTTCATAACCTTCAATGAAGATCGATAGTTGTCCACGTGAAGTCGTCGTGGCCTAAAGGATAAGACGTCCAGTGCATTCGTATCGAGCGATGCACCAGTGTTCGAATCCCGCTGGCGGGTACCAATTTTTCTAATGAAATACGTACTCAGCAAATGTTCACGATTGACTTCCACGGTGAAGGAATAACATCGTGCAATAAAAATCAAACCCGCAAAATTATAATTTGCGTAATCACTGGTGGTAGGACCTCTTGTGAGTCCACACGGGTAGGTACCACCGCCCCGCCTATTTCTGCCGTGAAGCAGTAATGCGTTTCGGTTTGAAGGGTGGGGCAGCCGTTGTGACTATACTGAGACCTTAGAACTATATCTCAAGGTGTGTGGCGCATTTACGTTGTAGGGCTCCAGTAACCACTTAACACCAGGTGGGCTGTGAGCTCGTCCACACATCTAAGCAACAAAAAAAAAAAAACGTGCCATCGGTAATGCCAAGAACGCAGTTTTCTACCGCTAAGGACGACATAAACTTTTCTGGAAGATATCTTCCTTGCGTCGTATTCCTCACTGCTGAGAGTCGTGACCACCCTTTTGTATCACCTTCGCACGCACGTTCTTCCTCCATCTATTCTTGTCTCTGGTGGTGTGGAAGGTGTTGGAAGATATACATACATACATTGCATAGTGCTTTTGGTACGACAAGCTCCCTATTCGTTGCAATAGTAGTCAAACTCGCAAAATTTGTTAGGGTGAGTTGTGAGCCCACGCGGGTAGCTACCGCGATTTTGACTACATCAGCCGCGAAGCAGATATGCGTTCCGGTTCCATGGACGGAACATTGTTTTTTTTATTGTTATTATTTCATCGTGGAAGTCATATTTTGTGAACATAAGTCAAGCACGTATATCATTGAAAAATTCTTAGGTGCCTACGAGATTACAAAACCGGCACACATGCATTGCTCGATAAAAGTACCTCCTCCACCTTGCGTCAATAATCCTCAATGCTGAGAGTCATGGCCTCCTCTAATAGCTTTCTCCTGGATTATCCTCTTTGCTTGTCTTCCTCTGTGTGGATAGCAACGTGGACTGAAGTATTGCGAGTGGGGCGTATCTGGTCCGACAAGCGCATTGGACTTCTGCCTCTGGGCATCTTCCACATACCTTGCCTGTTACCAGCAGCTTCTCTAAATTGTCACAAGTACACTGGGCGTATTATCCCTTAGGCAACGGAGACTTCAAACGGTTACGGATAGCCGGTATACCGACGATTGGGACTTCGGTCTTATGTCTCAAGGGGAAGTGGCATTGACGTCGTGTTATCTATGAGCTCTCGTATTGTCTCAATACCATATAATCTTTGGGTTTCGTCTACAAATTTACAAGAAAAACTGAAAACAGAGAATTAACATAATCCCTCTATTAATTTAAGCCCTGCCTATTTGCGTCGTTTAAGGGGCTATTCCTGCTACGCGCGAACGGGTAGCAGAGCTCACGGGTTCACTCTGAGAGAATTTGCTAACACTAGACCTAGCAAGAGCAGTGTGTTGCAAAATTGAATTGAAGTCGTCGTGGCCTAAAGGATAAGACGTCCGGTTCATTCGTATCTAGCGATGTACCGGTGTTCGAATCCCGCAGGCGGAAACCAATTTTTTTAGTGAAATACGTACATACTTAACAAATTGTCATGATTGATTTCCACGGTGAAGGAATAACATCGTGTAATAAAAATCAAACCCGCAAAATTACAATTTGCGTTATTACGTACTGGTGCTAGGACCTCTTGTGAGTCCGCCCGGGTAGGTACCACCACCCCGCCTATTTCTGTCGTGAAGCAGTAATGCGTTTCGGTTTGAACGGTGGGGCAGCCGTTGTAACTATACTGTGACCTTAGAATTCATATCTCAAGGTGGGTATCGGTATTTACGTTGTAGATGTCTATGGGCTCCAGTAAGCACTTAACACCAGATGGGCAATAATAAATGAAAAGTCTATTAGTGTCCCACTGAGAGTATTTGGCGAGAAACTCAATGGCCAACTCCATCCATCTTCAGAACCGCGGCTATGATAATACAAACATACAATATAAATATAACATCCAATTCGGCCTGTCGTTTTCCGAGTTCACGTCTGCCTAAAGAAAGATGTATTATTTGTTGTATGAAACACGAATGAATATGAATACTTGTTCCGCAAAACTGTATACATAATTAAATGTAATATTTGGTCGGTCGTGGAGCTAGAATTGTCTAGGTCATACACGATCGGCATGTCTGTTTGTACGCTGCGAACGTTATCTTGCGCGATCAGCTGATAAACTCATGACTCAGTAATAAAAGAACTCGCTTCTTCTGAACGTTAAAGTCACCTTGTTGTTTTTTTTTTTAAGATACAAAAAATGGCTTTTTTAAACATGCCTTTATTAGCTTTGTATGGATGAACATATGGATGTATGGATGGATAAATAATAACTTCGCTGCAATGTCTAGTATCGGCCGAATAACAAAAGATGAAATAAATTGTTAATTCGGTTTGTTATTTAAGCGTGTTTTTTTTATTAAATTTTATCTTACATAATATATTATTTATTACGTAATCACTATTGAAATATTACGAATAAATTTAATGTGAGTTATATTTTCGCATGATATTTCTTTTTGTTTATTTAAATATACTTTTTTATTTGCTCCACAAAGGCGAGAGCTGAGATTAACGGCTCATCTAGACACTAGAGACACGGGATGTGACCATTATCATCTACCGTTAATGTCGAGAAGAAAGAAAGTCGCAGTTATTAGTATGTTTATCGTATAACGGCCGTCTGGTGTAGTGGTAAGTGACATGGTCACTACACAAGGGGATCGCGGGTTCGAATCCCGCCAAGGGAAGATATTTGTATGATAAATATAAATGTCTTTTCCAGGGTTATGGATGTATATTAAATATATGTATGTGTATAATAAAAATCTTACATTTATTTCCGTTATCTGGTACCTGTAACACAAGTTCTTTACGAACTTATCACGGGACCAGTTAACGTGACGTGATTGTTAGTAAATATTNTGAATTTGAAACGCGATTTTTTATAAGTTAGCAGCTATTATCATGCATATTCAGAGTTGTTTTGTGAACTTTCAACATTCTACTATTAAACTCCAAAAAATGGAAGATTTTGCAACGAATATAAAACTTATATTGAGCGTCGAAAGATTTTCCCGGTTTTTTCCCGATTCGCCTCTCAATCCCTAATCGCCCCATTTTACCGGTACTCATTATTTCTCTATAAGGGACTTTTTGGCGGGAATGCGAGGAGTGAAGTTGTGTAATTTGTTTTATTTTATCTATTTAGTGTTTCTTCAGGTTTAAATGTGTAATAACGGTGGTTTATTAACTATTTAGTATCTGTGAAAGTGCATAAATGTGGGAAAATGAAGCAAAGCCGCTGAACGTAACTTCTCGGGATCCTCCATAAATCTCAGTAAATAACCACCATTTTACTGAGATTATACTTCATCCCATATCATCTCATCTCATTTAATTTAATTTCGTCCCAGTTGATTAATGTCTCAAATTAATCATCTTCATTTCATTTCACTCCATATTATTAAAAAAAAATAAGATTATTAATAAAACATAAGAAACGACTTCAAAATTTTAGTTACCGGGTCATTAAATCCCTTAAAAAAAACAAAAAAATGTCTATGTTGTAATTATTTGTTCACATATTGTGTACATATCTATTTATATATGTTTGTTCTTAATAACATGAGAAATCATAAAAAACATAAGTAAATAGATAATTAATTAAATAATCGTTATATAAAGCATAGAGTAAGATTTTAAATATCCTAATATAAAGGTGCCTAACCACAGATACGGAAGCAATCATGTTCAAAATGAAAGAGAAAAAGCACAAGAATAAATCTCATGAGCCGAAAGAGCTTAAGAGTAAAAAAAAAGCACATATTATTAACGTAAGTTTTACATGAATAAACTAAAATTCGCTACAGGCAATCAAAATTTTGACTTATTTTTATAGTTTTATTCTTTATTTTCCTATTAATGAATATATAACTTTAATTTTAATTTATTCGAAGCATAACTGTATTCAAAAGATTTGTTAAATAAACATTGGGTTTTAATCAAAACTTGCGTAGGTACTTTTGCTATTAAAACTTTACGACCACTGTCTTCTATTATTATTGCAACAAAACACAAATTTTTATTTCCCTTCTTTCCATCTTACAGTCATCAAGTTCTTCAAATTCTGATTCAGAGCAATGGGTTGAAAAAGAAAGTTCAATAGTGCAAAAAGAAACTCGAGAAGACTGGATGGCAATGACAGGTCTATTGAAAACATACTCAAAACAGGACATTAAGCCACCAAGAGATGTAAAAAAAAAGAATGGTATTGATTCATATAATCCATCAACTAGTAGTAGAGAACTCAATCCTTACTGGAAAGATGGTGGCTCAGGACTACCGCAGACACCAGAAAGTTTTCGGAAAGCAAGACCTTTCCTCAAACCATCTGAAGAAGATGACTACTATACACGATCTTCTAGAGGTCATAAATCTGATTACCATCACTCAAAGCAGTATGAGAACCGAAGCCCATCAAAAGCAGAGCAGACACTATATCAGAACAGAGGGTCAAGCAAATGGAAAAAAAATGAAAGCTTAAACCAAACTGAAAGAAAAAGTCAAGAACAAAAAACTAATGTTGAAAAACATTCAGAACCAACAGTTAGTCATTCAAAATGTAAAGACACAGTTGAGAGTAAGTATTTAACTGATGATAAAATGAATAAACTAGCAGCTAAAATTGTAAAAGCTGAAATAATGGGAAATGTAAAACTTGCCAATGAATTAAAAGAAAAATTGGAAACTGCAAGAGAATATAGAAAACAGAATCCTGATGCTGGCCAAGAAGAAGACAATGAAGGAATTATGCTTATTTCTACCAACAAAAAAGGAAATGCAATGCCTTTAACCCAACTTAAAAGAGGTGTTGCTAAAAATGGTGATGGTAAAAGAAAAGCAGAAACTCATGTATCTGGTGAAAGAGCTAAATATTTTGGAAATGATGACAAATATAACCTAGCTCAAATGGTAAGATTTCTAAACCTTTATTGACAAAAAATATAAAATGACACATCAAACATAGCAATCTTAGAAACTAAACATCTTATTTTTATCAGAAAATTAACATAGAGGAAACAGTTATTAAGTGTAAGCAGAGCTTTATATATTGTTATATGCTGTTATAATGAGGTGTAAGTATTTATATATATATATATATGCAACAGAGATCAGTCCGAACCTAAAAAAAAGAATTAGTGAAATTTGTTCACGCGCATCGTGAATATTGCTGATTGTATCAGAAATATGCCGCCTATGGTACTGTGAAGCTTAAATAAAATAAATAGACTTTGTGCAATATAATATTGTGCAGAATAATATCCATCTTCACAAACCTATTATTTGCTTTATGTAGCAAAATTTAAATAGTGTTTTAATAAAATTGTAAACAGTTTCAGCAAGAAAAATATGGAAACAACTATGATGATGAAGCAGAACTGGCAAAGATTGCAAGTAAATCTNCCTATGGTATTGTGAAGCTTAAATAAAATAAATAGACTTTGTGCAATATAATATTGTGCAGAATAATATCCATCTTCACAAACCTATTATTTGCTTTATGTAGCAAAATTTAAATAGTGTTTTAATAAAATTGTAAACAGTTTCAGCAAGAAAAATATGGAAACAACTATGATGATGAAGCAGAACTGGCAAAGATTGCAAGTAAATCTAAAAATCCAAATGATGATCTTGCAGACATCTTCATGGATCATATATCAAAGAACAGAGATGATGCTAAGGAGTGTCAAAATGAGAGACAGAAAAGCATTAATGAGCATATACGGATTGAAAGATCTTTGGAAGGTTGTGAATATTGCATAGATTCTAAAAATATGGTGAAACACATGATGATCAGCTGTGGTAACAAGGTGTACTTGGCTTTACCATCAAAACAATCACTTGTCAAAGATCATTGTTTAATTACTACTTTACAGCATTCACTTTGTGTCACATCCTTAGATGAAGATGTTTGGGAGGAAATTTTGGTAAGCATATCTGTTGATTAAAATTTACGCTATTAAAATACAACCTTGTGTTACACAATTTGTGAATTAGTCTCGAATTATTCCTTTCAGAACTATAGGAAAGCCTTGACACATTTTTTTAATTCACAAAATAAAGATGTAGTATTTTACGAAACAGCTTCAAGATTACACAAATATCCTCATATGATTATAAATTGTGTGCCTTTACCAAGAGATGTTGGTGATACAGCACCTATATATTTTAAGAAAGGATTATTAGAATGTGAAGCAGAATGGTCTATGAACAAAAAAGTCGTTGATCTAAAAGGTAAAAGCATTCGGAAAGGAATACCTAAAGGACTACCATATTTCTGGGTAGATTTCGGCATGGATCCTGGTTTCGCACATGTAATTGAAGATCAACAATTATTCCCGAAAACATTTGCAGAGGTAATCTTAATATATAGTTATTGGTTTGAAAATTCTGTTACATAAATAAGTATGCATTTTCATTTAAGTCAAAATTAGCTTTCACTTTATTGTACTGCTTAAGGTGATGCTCAAATCCTTTCTTAGCCATCACACAATACAGTTGCAGTTCTTACCCTATTTGAGTTACAGTATTGTGATTTCTACAAGCTCCAGAAGCCATTTAATTTCAGATGACTTGTAAACTTCTTCATCAAAGTTTGTAATAAAAATAATAAACACCTGCTTAGGAGTGGGGAAAAATAATCTTCCCAGAAAAGATAATATTATATCCATCTTTTTTTTATTGCCTTTGTGGGCAAATGAACCTACGACCTACCTGAAGGCGAGTGCTTACCGTCTTTTAAGGACGTCAGAAATGGCAAAAGCTAGCAAAGTCTAAAATCTACATTTTTTTTAAATTACTTGACTATATGTATATCTAGTCCAGCCATAAGTTGTTACAAATGAAAATGCATTTTTTTTAAATGGCCACCTTTGGCTTTTGCTGAAGTTATGGTCCAGGCGGCTGGCCGATACTTCGGCTGGTCGCAGGACCGTCGAGGCGATTCGCCCAGCCCTTGTGGACTGGGTGAATCGTAACAGAGGACGCCTCACTTTCTGGCTCACGCAGGTGCTCACTGGGCATGCTTGGCTTCGGTGAGTTCCTGCACCGGATCGGAGCCGAGCCGACGACAGTACCGCCATTGTGGTTGCGACTTGGACACGGTAGAGCACACGCTCGTCGTCTGCCCTGACCTCGTCGCAAAAAAATAGGAAACGACTTGTTGCCGAGTGTTGTGGCATCGATGCTCGGCGGCGACGAGTCGTGGAAGGCGATGCTCGACTTCTGCTAGTGCACCATCTCGTAGGAGAAGGCGGCGGGGCGCGTGAGAGACGCACAAGCCCGCCGCCGTCGAGCGGGGCCAGGGAGGCGGATCTCGCCCCAGCCATGGCCCTGTAAGTGTTTTAGGTCCCCCTCACATGTCGGTCTGGGGACCGGCGATGGGGGCCTAAGAAGACAACGTGCAAGCTGCTCTGCACGCGTTTTACGTAAGAGCATCCAGGTGATGGAAGGCCGGTTATCCTCGATCCACGCTGGTTCTGACCCAGCGGGGTATTCCGTAGGATAACCCATTCTAACTGGCGCCATCTAGGAGGGCTCCGAATAGCCTGCCTACTGAGAGGGCTGGTGGTTGTGGTACCGACAGTCCCGCGTCCCGAGGGGCAGGGTGGTGGGAGAGATGTGCTCCGCACTGTCCCCTCTTTGCCTTTTCATGAGTTCTGTCTCATGCGAGGTTCGGACATGAGTTGTTGAGCGGAGGTTTTAGTCAGTTCGACTCCGACATGTCCCGCCCTCCATCCCCAGGAGAGGGCGGAAGTCCGGTGATTTCCTCCTGACCAAAAAAAAACCATTGGCTTTTAGACAGGCCTTTAATCTGTTTTGCCGCGAATCTATGGATTTACGCACTGTTTCCAAGGGAAATTTCGCCACCGCTTGCTCCAAAGATTTTTTCTCCTACCTACGCCGAAAGTTCAGTTTTCGTCCCGCTGTACAAGGAAAAAAAGTGTAACTTTTTCTCCCTGGGTACAAATGCGCATGCGCGTTAGTGTCTACGTCTGCTCTCACGCACCTAAAATTCTCCGCCATTGTTGTGTTCGGGTAATTTGCAATATTGTGTTTAGTGTAAAAGTTAAATAAACAAAAGGCAACAAAATTTAATAGTGAAGTATTAAACAAAGATGAGTTCATCAGACAGTTCTTATAGTCCAAGATCACAGGGCCCCCAGACGTCACGTATTTTCTAACGAACGAAATGTGGCCGATTGCGTATGTAGTGTATGTACAAAGACGCATGCCTACCTGCTAGCTTGCTTAGACGGCCAATTTTCAGGTGTCAGGTACTCAAGGTACATAAAATCATTACCTACTTCACGTAAATTCTGAAAGCTGATTTTTATATATGACCACTAGACAACTATTTTAAAACCTCTTACAAAAAGATAGTCCGATCCAAGGGGCCAATCAAGCCCTTAAATTCAATTTAATACCTCTGTGGGTAAGAGCGCAAGGGCATTATCCACGCGCATGAGACTGAGTGAGACATGTATTAGGATATATTGACTTCTCTGTCTCTCTATCTCTCTCTTACAGTTGACTCCTATCAATAAATTATTAATATTAAAAGAAAATCAGTTAAAAATTAAATATTTTTCGCAATTTTACACGCGGGAGGAAATGTCCCACTTTTCTCCCTTGGTGAACAATGTACTATTTTAAGACTCAATGTCGCCGTGTCGTTTAGAGCAGGCCATGTCCTCTGAAACTAATGATAATTTGAAGTTTAAAGGGTTGAGGTCTGGGCTAGATGAGGGCCAGTCTTCAGCTCTTATAAAGCCCAGAACGTTGGTTTCAAGCCAGGCTTGAGTAGTTCGTGCCTTGTGACCAGGTGTAGTCCTACTGGAAAATCCACAGTATATTTTTAAAAAGTGCATTGCTGAGAGGTTTCACAACGTGATCCAAGACTGTATCTTGATACAATTTGGCTGAAGTTTTCACTCCTTTTTCACAAAAATGTAGTTCTGTGACTGATAAGGCACGCCTCACCAAACCATCACTAACGCAGGATGATGACCACGTTGTACCTTTCCGAACACTTGGGCAGCTTCTTTAGAGCTGTGAGCGTACACTTGATGACACTGATTTTGCTTATTGTGGTGTTCTTCAATAGTGAATATTTTTTCATTGGTAAAGAGGATATTTCTGTGTATTTTATTTTTTATTTTTACTGGTGATAGAACCTCTTGTCAGTCTGCACCGATACGTACCACCACCCTGCCTGTTTCTCTCGTGAAGCAGTAATGCGTTTCGGTTTGAAGGGTGGGGCAGCCATTGTAACTATACTGAGATCTTAGAACTCATATCTCAAGGCTGCACTTACGTTGTAATGTCTATAGGCTCCGATAACCGCTTAACACCAGGTAAGCGGAGAGCTCGTCCACCCATCTATGTAATAAATAAAAAAGTAATGAAGACGAAAAATGTGAAATGGCGCGAAATCGAAAGATTTTTTTTAAATTTTGTTCTAAATTCAAAATAATTAAAAAGTTGAAAAAAGAAAAGTTTTTATGTAACAGTATTTATGGCCAGACTAATTATAAAAATTATATCTAAGCCCCCTATCAAAAACAGACATTATTTTTACTTTACCATTTACAGGAAATAATTGCTGGAATATTGGACTTAGATCATAGAGCATGGAAAAACCCACAACGAGAATATGGTGATGTGCAAAGGAAGAAGGTCTTAGAATTTATAAATGGCTGGAAACCATTTGATCCTGTAAAAAAATAGTGTTTTACTAATAAATAATTAGAACTTATTTTGTTTTATTTTTCATTTTTCATCATTTCTTCAATAAGTTTTTGTCGTTCTGCAGCTTGTCTCATTTTTCTGAAAACTAGAGACTCATAATCTCTATCTGATACCAAAGATGGTTCTCCATTGACTGTTTTATTGGTAGTAAGCACTGGTCTATCATTAACCCATTTTAAAGTTAAAGGGTTGTCAGGTAGGCCTGAAATGACACTCAAATTATAAATTTTTATCACAAAAAATATTTCATGAACTTTTTAATGTCTCTTATAGTATCGAGACCAGCTAACATGGGCAGCTTAACTGTAGGTAAAAAGTAATACTATTTAGATTACCTTTTTCTAACTGAACAGCCATTTCTGCTGCTTCCTTAGTAGCAAATTCTATTAAGGCACTACCTCGACTCTTGGATGATATTACTAAAGCAACAATGTCACCATATTTCTTCAAGAACTTTCTTAATGTAGCTTCATCATAAGTACTATTATTCTGATCAGTTTTATCAACTTTCCACTTAATCTTAATTCTATTCAAACTTGGATCCCAAACAGGTTCTTTCATTCGTTCTACACTTTTTTGTATTTCATTTTTCATTCTTTGTTGCTCTTCCAATAATAGACGACTTCCCTCTCTTTGTAGCCTTTCAATCTCTTTTGCAAGTCTCTGAGAATCTGTAAGGTTTGTATGTGTGCCAGATGCTGCTTCTCTTTCTCGTTTTTCTAAATCTTCTTTGAGTTTTTGTCTTTTACTGTCTAATTCTTGATGCCTTAACTTTGCGGAAGCTTTAGCACGTAGCACTTTATCATAAGCTGCTCTAGCAGAAGTATCAGTTAATATTTCTAATGCTTGGGATAATTCGTGAAATGTTTCTGCCGCTTTAGGGTCATCTGGGTTTTTGTCTGGNGATGCTGCTTCTCTTTCTCGTTTTTCTAAATCTTCTTTGAGTTTTTGTCTTTTACTGTCTAATTCTTGATGCCTTAACTTTGCGGAAGCTTTAGCACGTAGCACTTTATCATAAGCTGCTCTAGCAGAAGTATCAGTTAATATTTCTAATGCTTGGGATAATTCGTGAAATGTTTCTGCCGCTTTAGGGTCATCTGGGTTTTTGTCTGGATGGCATTGTAAAGCCTTTTTTCTGTATGCTTTTTTGATCTTGAAATATTATAAAAATCAATTTTAACCTGTTTAGTTATCACCATGATTTTGGTCACAAAACCATGTTTATGGATAAGCCACCATGGACCTAAGTACTAGTGAACACAAATGTGAAAGAAATACAAGCTAGTTGAGTTTGTTTGCTCATTCTTCTCAGAGCTGTGGCATTTTTTAACACATAGTTCAAGACATAGGGCATTCATGTTGAGATAAATAATTTGAATTTGACTACCTTACCACCAGTTAATCACAAATGTCTCGAGGTACATATTCACGATGTGCTGCCTATAGGCACCGGTAGCCACTTAATATCAGCTTAAAATCGTTCCTCGCTACATCACGGCGAAATCTAAACAAATCGACTAAGGTCCTCGACCTTGACCACCGTTGCCTTTCGACTCATTAAGCCTAAAGTACATGACGAAGGCTGGTAGTAGACGTAGAATGTAATAAGTATTTTCGTTCGCTTTGTTTACCTCCGATTCGGTTGCAGTTATTTGTAAATCAAGCACAGCATATAGGTCAATTTCTTCAATATTTATTTTCGTCATTTTATTTAAATTTTCAAAGTCAATATTATTTTTTGTTTGAGTTTTATAGTCGGATTTTTTATTAGACGAAGTCAACTGACGTTTACTGTGTTGTCAGTTTTTGAGTATGTATTCTATGTATTATCTGTGACTGTTTTTTATGGGATTTTATGACCTGGTAACTAAGACCTTTAAGTCATGTCTTATTTTAATTTATATTCTTATTTTCATGAAAAATGATAATATGGAGTGAAATGAAAAGAAATAAAGATGATTAATTTGAGACATTAATCTACTGGGATGAAATTGAATGAAATAAGATGAAATATAATCTGAGTAAAATGGTGGTCATTTACTGAGATTTTTGAAGGAGCCCGAGAAGTTACGTCCAGCGGCTTTGTTTCATTTTCCCACATTTATGCACTTTCACAGATATTAAACAGTTAATAAACCACCGTTATTACACATTTAAACCTGAAGAAACACTAAATAGACAAAATAAAAGAAATTGCACAACTTCACTCCTAGTGTTCCCACCAAAAAGTCATGTAGATCATAAGACATATTAATAATATAAGATCATAAGACATATTAATAAGATAAGACATATTAATTATAGGTACCTAGATCATAGAGTTAGTATTTTTGTAGGTAGTTGTACTGTCAACCTGGGTAACTTTGTCCCGCCATGCGAACTATTTAGTACGTATAAATAAAAAATATGAATTTTCCGTGGGTTTTAAACGTTTACAATTGAAATTTAAATGATTTTGCATGAGCATAGAGTGAAGATCTCACAAAATAGAGGAAATGTATATTTTTTCTTTTTGAGAGTTGGGTAGTTTTGCCAGTATAAGAACTGGCAATACAATTTTGATGTATTTTTACATTTAAAACACTATGATAACATTGGATTTCTTTTTTATATCAATAAATTAGGTCACCATCTTATAACAGCTGTTTACAAAAAAAAATGCTTTAAATTTAGGGCTATCTGTAAAATTTAATGTGAGTGTGTTTGAAAAGGACCTTTATTTATAAGAACTTATTTATGAGTCGTCTATTATCAAAGGTGGCAATCTGTACATTTGGACAAAAAAAAATTATTGATATGTTAATACAGATTTATTTGAATATAATCGTCTCCTTCAAAGAATACGGTTCAAAACCTGCATTAAATAAAGGTTAATAGTTAACCTGTTATTTATCTAAGATGTCGTTCCGAAGAGTTTTGTGACTGCCAATGGAATACAAAGTCAATAATTCGTTTTTCTGATTTACCAATCTGTTTTCTGTTTGTCAAAGTCAGATTGCCGCCTTTGATAATAGTCGACTCTTATCTTCTATTTATTGAAGTTATACTTCTTTAGGCGCGTTATGAAAAATTGATGAGAGTGAAATTTTACGATACGCGCGCACCGTGACACAAAATTAACAGAATGAAGTTGCCCACTAAATCGCTCATTACAATACGACCGACGTAACTTGGCGAGTCTGAGTATAGCCGCAGGTGAACTTTCCGAACCGTACCGAGAATTACCGAATTTAAACGATGTCAAGAAAAGGGATGTCCAATATGCGTGTTTGAAGATGTTGTTTAATCGATTTTTTTCAAATTGATTAAATATTAATTTAAAAAAAAGAAATACATTTAATAAAAATAAAGTATAACTTTTTACGCATGTACATAAGTACACGCACACTTTTTTTATTACAAATCAGTGTTTATTCATTATAATTAGAAAACCGTGACATTTTAAAATTATAAAAAAAAGCATCAAAGCTATAATGCTTCGGTAGAATTAAATTAATTGCAGTGGTTAATCACCCCATTCCATGATCCAGTATCCAAATCTAATTGCTCAGGTAATCATGCAACACGATCCATGAGTGATGATATATCATTAGTAGGTGGTGGAGTACGAAAGACGGTAGCTTCAATAATAAATGGGGATTCGGCTGTGGGTGATGGAAGATGATTGGTAGGTAGGTCGACTGAGTATGTCAATTTTATATTCGAAGGACAAGGAATAGGTGATAAAGAACGAGTTATAGGGAGGTTAGTCACCGTGGAAGCTTCCTACAGTTCTCGAAGGGTGTCAGCTCAAGCACTCAAAATAGATCAAAATCGCAACTCGCTGAGAAAATTCAGCAAAAACTCTGTTGGTTGATGATATGGGCTAAGTATGACGTCGAATTCAGGTAGACAGCATCGACGAATCTTAGTGGGACACGATTCAAATCCTGGCTTAAAAGTCTCGCTACCAGACCATATAATCTTAAAAAAAAATAACCTAAATGTATTATGAATATAACCTAAAAAAAACTTTAAAAACAAACCCATCTATTGATTTCCTTTTCCTATATAAATAGGACAAAAAGAAACGTAATGATTTTGAGTAATACAGGTAAGGATGCTAATGATGTCAAAATTTACTGATAAAGAACCACTTTTAATAGTAATATCTACACTTATTACATTCGTCGGCAGCACAGCTTATGAAATTCTAATCTTCTTCGTGTTTGACTATTCTGAAACTCTCAATTGTTAAATCTGTCACAAGGCAAAACCTTCGTGGGAGCCTGATAAAATGCAAAATGAGATGAATTCTTGAATATGCCATACTAATAAAATTATTTTAAAACCTATTACTAACTTATTTTTCTTACTTAAGAGGTGACAATCAATTCATTCATGAGCTAACAGTTGTAGTCATATACATGAAAGCTCAGTAATAAATAAATGCAAATCAATCAAGATCTTGATTATTTAGATAAATGAAATGAAACTGACCAACTATTGTTGCGATTGGAAAATCTTGAGAATCATAAACAGTATATTTCTGGTACAAAAATTGCTTTTAACAGCTCCGTTTTTTTAATTTCATCTATAGTATATAATCTATAGTATAAATAGTAGTAAGCATAGTAGTATGGTATCAGTATGAATTCTACTTGAATGATAAGTAATGAATCCCATTAACTTATGTGTTACTATATAATATAAATTTAACTAAAAAAAATTAAACAGTAATTTCTTTAACATTGTTTTTTTTTGCAGGGTGTAGATATACAAAATATGGATTTTCACTTCTGAGATACACATCAACTTCTCCACAAGTCATTCCAGAGAATGTAATTGGTCAGTAAATTGAATAGAACATATTGACGCTTGAACGTCAAAAGTGCCTAAGCAATAAAGCGTGAACTTTACAGTAGACTAATTTAAGGTTGAAATACCTGAAAAGAAATCTATTTTAATGAATCTAGCTGTAGGATTGAAATGATTTTAATAGACCTAGAAATATATAATTTTTGCGCATCGAATATGGTTATTGCCTATCATTTCGTGCCTTTCAAGCGTCAATATCAATTTAAAAAAAGTTATTTAGTAGCATACCATATCTTCATTATGTTACATTTAAATTATGTAAACGTTATGTTACAGATGTGCAACAAAATCAGAAAAATCCTCTTGATTACCCAGATTATTTTGGTGTACATAATTTATTTACAGTAAAAGACCTATTTGATGCAAGAGTGCATTATGGTCATAAAATAGGGTCCCTCAATGATAACATGAGATCATACATATATGGTTCAAGACTTGGACACCTCATTTTTGATTTGGATACAACAGCTGAACATTTACGTAAAGCTCTTAATTTCACAGCCCACATTGCATACAGAGGTGGAATCATTTGTTTTTTTAATAGGAATTCNACAGTAAAAGACCTATTTGATGCAAGAGTGCATTATGGTCATAAAATAGGGTCCCTCAATGATAACATGAGATCATACATATATGGTTCAAGACTTGGACACCTCATTTTTGATTTGGATACAACAGCTGAACATTTACGTAAAGCTCTTAATTTCACAGCCCACATTGCATACAGAGGTGGAATCATTTGTTTTTTTAATAGGAATTCGCTAAATGCACATATCGTGGAAAAAACAGCAATGGAATGTGGAGAATATGCTCATACAAGATTCTGGAGAGGTGGTATCTTCACAAATGCCAATCAGCAGTTTGGTGCTATAACAAGATTACCTGACTTATGTATATTTCTTAACACCCAGAATAATATTTTGAATCAGCACACGGCTGTCAGAGATAGTGCAAAAATGTTAATACCGACAATTGGAATTGTCGACTCAAATTGTAATCCTAATTTGATATCATACCCTGTACCTGGCAATGATGATTCCCCAACAGCCATAGAGCTCTACTGTAAGTTATTTAAAAGTGCTATTATTAGAGGAAAGGAAGAAAGACGTAAGTTTCTACAGGAGACAGAGTAACATCATTGTTGTAAAAGAAAATTAGTTGGTTTAACAATAAATTCTGTTTATTATATTTCTTTAAATATCACAACTTGGTAAACATTTTCATTATATTACTCATAATGTTTTAAAAATATTATTTCTGTAAATTTTTGTTTTATCTAATTATGCAGTGTATGATAATTATTATATTTAACAGTTTAACAATATTTTGTCCCAATACAACACAATCATAAGTAATATAAATTGTACAACAAAAAATCTAAATAAAAATAATTAAAAACGTCAAGTTGACAATAGATGATAGCAAGAAAAACAATTTGTGATTTTTAATCTGTCTGGTCTTAATAATGTCATTATGGCATAATTAACCCAGAAGAACCTTTCGCATCATATGTGGGTGAGGATTACTGTCTACCTCACGGCTTTCCCAACTTCCAGTAATACATTTTGAACTGCATAGATATTGTAGTAATGGAATCCTGTACTTTCCACAAAAATCTACAAATTTGATGTGTTCTACGCGGTTGTCAAAGAAGACACCTGTAACAAATATGTTAATTAGTTGTGATAGGTAAATATCATACAAAAGTATTGTTAATGGTGATATAAAGTATTTGAATATTTTATATCTCCATAACAAAAAAATCCAGAAAACGTTTTAAGACCCTACATATTAATTTATTCTTTATTGTCACGCAGGAAATCATTTGATTTGATTTGTTCCTCTCACAATAGACAAGTTAAATTTCATGAAAAATAAAGTGGTTTTGAGTGCGTTTCGATTTTGTTATTCTCAACGCCCGAAATGAGGAGAACTTTAGAATATTGTTTGTTGTGCAATCATCTAGTCCGTTGACTAGTGAATGCACAAAATACATTTATGAACACATATTGAATGAAAAACGATGCCACCATGTATTGCACCATTATGATCCATGTATCAGTATTTCCTAAAAGGTTCGCAATGGTGAACATATCGGGGTTCCACCTTGTAAAGTGTATATTTGTTATTTAAGTAGCTTGGTCGTATTTGAGCACAAGCTAATACAAAAACAATATGTTACAATAAGTACTACTATTATACCTTTGCATTTTGGATTGACACAACATTGGGCTGCTTGCAGATAATTGATCAATGTCTTAGGAATACCTCCAGTTTCAATTGGAATGTTGTGAAGTTTCACAGTGCGACCAGCCAGCTCTAAGAGTGATGGTGGCTGCAGAGTCATGTCTCTAACGAATCTTACTACAAGGGGATTGTCCCGAAGACTGAGCTGTAATTAAAAAAAACATACAGTATACATGCATACTTTGGAACAAAGTTATAAAATATTAATCATTTTAATGAATTTTAAGGACTAATTTGTATGATTCTATGCTGCCGCTATATACTTCCCACCACAAAAATAGCTTCACTATTGCCCAGGATTTGTCTACTTGCCGTAGCTACATGATACACTGGGCTTGCAAAACGAATATGTTCTGATTGTTAAAGCTGTATAATTTTCTTCATTCTTCGGTTTTCCCTGGGCATTACACACATTCTTTCTTCAACCGTACAATTGCGCTATAGTTACGTTTAGCATTGCTTAGGCGGCGTTAACCACTTTCCTATAAGTGCATTGCAAGCTACACGGTTGCATTGTATTCAAACATCTTTTTCATAAATTTGATCTTAAATAGATTTGGGTAATTTGGTTAGGTATTGTATTTTCACTAGCATTATTGGCACTTTTTTAGATTTTTTTTTATTAAATTTGAGTTCATACCTCTGTCAAGCATTTTAGTTTAATAATTTGTGTGGGCAAAGTTTTCAACCGATTCTTGTGCAATAATAAAGATCTTAAATTCTTCAGCTTTGTGATGCTTGCTGGCAACTGTTCGATCAAATTATCACTGAGCACCAACGCTTGTAGTGAAGTTAAGTGACCTACGTTCTCGGGCACTTCGGTAATTTGGTTACCACCAAGTGATAGTATTTGCAAACTGTAATTGTAACATGTTTTATTACAAGTCATTCAAATATTATGAAGCTAATTTAAGTAAGTACTAGTAAGTAATAAAACGTATGAACGCAACATGAAAGTTTTTTCGTCGTCTCCCCATGGTACCACATGGCTACTACACAACCGTTCTACATATTTCTGCCAAGAAGCAATCATACGTACCTACGGACTTGAAGGGTGGTACAGAAGTTATCAAATACAATTGAGACTGACCTCATGTGTCCAAGTGGCTTTAGGTAGGTACCTACCTATTCAAATGATGTGTAGGTAGGTATCCTACGGAACTACATAACAGTTATCATCGCGTGGCTCTGGTACTCTCTCTACTTATATATAGTGCAATAAAAAGATTTTTTAAGGTAATAAGGATTTTTAAAGGTAAGGATACAAGTTTTTGCTAATAATGAAATTAGGAATTATCATTAAATTATGCGCTCTAGGTTCATTAATTTCATAATAATTGAATTAAATATTGTTAAATATTGTTGTTTCCACGTCGTAAACAGGACCTTAAAAATTTAAGTTCCTACATCACTCGCCTATCAGTGATTAAATTTTGTAGGAAACTGATAATGATGTAAGATTGTTTAAGTAAACATTGCTTACATTGTTTGTTAATATATATTTCTGATATAGTAAGTATATCTGGCATATTAAATAAAATATAATATAAAAAGAAGTTTCAACTTCAGTGATACTTACAAACAACTCTTTATCCCCGGACAAATGATTTATTTCCCGCGCCTATCTTTACCAAAACCTACCAACCATATACCTACCTATCATGTACCTGATTAATTTTTGGTTTGAAATTATATTGAAACTTCCAAATTTGAATCCCTTAAATAAACCGTCTAACTTTTCATTTGATTCAGCATCTACTCAGTTCAGTATCTCTTTGTCGACGTCAACGTCCGACAATATTATTTTATACCAAAAAAAGATAAATGTTGTTTTGTTATCATCATGTACACTAAAAATAAGCCGGATCATGTCATGGAAACATATTTTCTAAGAAGCGGTTTTTTTTTACAAGAATAGAACCTCACTAAAAACTTCTGCCCCTCATACGCGGCGCCCGGCCCTACCCCGAACCAGGCCGGAGTACAGTCGCCTAGTCGGGGCTATTGAGACGGCGCGGCACAGGGTCGACGTAGAGCATATTAGATCCATCCCGCCGTCCCCCGAGCGTGCTGAGCCGCGCCGCCCCACGCATGGGTCCCTCCCTCCCTGCACAAAGCGGGTGGAGCCCGAAGCTCTTAGGGGGCCGGGTCACGGATAGGACACCAGTCGCGACCCCCTGCTCGGCGGCGGCGGATTTCTGCGTAGCGAGGAGAGCTTTGCCTCACTCGCCCCGCCGCTCCCTTCCGCGAGATGGTCTAACAAGTGGCACGCAGCGCTTGGGCTCTGTTCCTGGAATTGCTGACATCCATGAATGACGGTAACCACTCACCAAGTGGGCCATATGATTGTCTGTATACAAGGACAGCTTTAACTTGCACTTCATAGAATGACATTCAGTTCTATATTTATAGTTCCAATATAAACGATTTTTTTTGTAGGAGTTAGTGAAGTTGTGGGTCTTAATTAATGATCTTTTAAATATATTTCCGGTTGAAATTAGAACACATCCGTTCAAAGAAAGCAAGTAACCTTGTCACTACTTTGAGCAGACACCCAAATATGAATACAAATTAACGGTAATTTCCCAAAAGGAATTGGGGGTTTCGAAAATAAAATTCGAGGATGCCATTCACATATCCGTACCTATTCTTATAATATATATCAGAAGAATAGAAGAGGGATAGATATGTAGTTATATAGGTATATGGTTATATTAATAAATATATATTTTTTTGTTGCATAGGTGGGTGGACGAGCTAACGGCCCACCTGGTGTTAAGCGGTTACCGGCGCCCATGGACATCTACAACGTAAATGCCGCCACCTACCTTGAGATATAAGTTCTAAGGCAGAAATAGGCAGGGCGGTGGTGCCTACCCGTGCGGACTCACAAGAGGTTCTACCACAAATAATTACGCAAATTATAATTTTGTCGGGATTCGAACACCGGGGCATAGCTAGATGCGAATGCACCGGACGTCTTATCCTTTAGGCCATGACGACTTATAAATAAATAAAAATATATATATAAATATAAAAAATAACAAATATATGTACCTAAATAACTATAAAGTAACTCCCTCTGAAATATACAGAGTAAATACTCATTATAAAGATCCTCTAATGGCTATAAATGAATTACATATGCAAAAGGAATGAATTGTGTCGAATTATACATTAAAGTTTAAACTACCTACTAAACATAGCCAAAACGATAATTAGTCAAAAGAACAAATAAATTTGAGTTCTTTATAAACGCAAGTCATTCATAATAAGTAGTGATAACAGTGTCTCACGTAGTTTATCTTAATTGTTAATGTAAAGTTATCAATATTTGTATATTCTCTGTAAAGCATTTTTGTACAGATACGTCTCTACAGTCATGTAAATTCAAAAATTTTTCCTCGTTCTGCTATTTCCACGTACTCGTTCTTTTTTAACATTAAGGTTTTATCGATACGCACCCGCTTAATTTCCAGATGTCCTTTGGTATGTTAACTATTTTGTTACTGCCTAGGTAAAGATATTTCAGATGTGTCAATTCGAATATCTGCTCTGGGAATAAATTTAACTGATTTCCACTGAGGTTCAGTTCACGAAGAGTATTCTTTGCAGTATAAAATGATTTGGGAAGTGACTCGTTAGTGAGTTGATTATGTTTTGCTACCAAAGTCGTGAGGGGACAATTCTTAAACACATCTGGTAAAACAGTCAGCCTGTTGTTGCTCACATTCAAAATTTTCAAGTTGCAAAACCTGTTTAGGAAATTTGGAAGTGATTGTATTCTGTTGTTGTACAGTAATATTATCTCGTAGCTTTCAGCACAATCTTTTTCATCCACTATACTTCTCATTTCAGCAGAGATACTTAATGTATCTATCATTTGATTGGATAAATCGAGTGTTTTCTGCTCCCTGAAGTCACTGTCACAACTATCTGATGTGTAATACTCCATTTTATGTTGTAGTGCGTTAGTTGATTGATCATCTGGAGTAGTATATAATGTTGATTACATTATCAGTTACTACAAAAGGTCGCGAGCGTATCGCTCGTCTAACCTCCTTCGCGACGCGCGCGCAACTGCGACTTTACTAACTAGAGACTAACAGAGTTCATCACACTGCCTAAAGACATAGTTGCTGCTGGCGCGTTTTGTGGGTTCTTTTGTAAATAACGTTTGAGATTGAGATAATAATATGTCTAAAAATCTTTTCGTACGTCAAAACATATTTGATTACTGAGTTGCCTCATATTTACATTGTGTCAAATCATTACATAATTAACTTAGCAATGTTACCTATGTTTCATTACGTAATGTATACATTACACGCAATATATGTTAACTATTTGTTGGCTATTAGCGCACAAACACTTAGTAGGCAGCGGCTTGGCTCTGCCCCTGGCATTGCTGAAGTCCATGGGCGACGGTCACCACTCACCATCAGGTGGGCCGTATGCTCGTCTGCCTACAAAGTCAATAAAAAAAAAAAAAAAAAAAAAAAAAAAAAAACGGTTTCTGTTGATTTTAATACCGGTCACTCTCATGCGCACGAATACGCAAACCCGCAAGTGTGGGACGACGTTTGCAAATGATTATGCAAAGTTTTCGCTGCATTCGTGGTTTTCCAAGCTGTGTCGGTTTTTTAACAGACATCAAAGCGAGCGAACCGCGAACCTTCGCGTAGTCTCCCACACATTTGCCCAGTTGCGCCGACGACTGCGAAGGTAACGGACGTACCTATCGCCATTTTCATAGTTCGTGACGTCTACTGTGTAGCGTATCTTCATCAAAAGAAATCCCATAAAAACAGCATGGCTGTTAATGATGTCTGGGAAAGAATTCAAAACTCTTTTTCTCTTCAATGTTCTATTGACGAATTAAAAAGGAGGAGAAATTCGTGAGACATTCGTAAACAAGTGTAGGAGGAAGCGCGAACGGGTTCGCAAATTGAGAATGCGAACCCATTTGCACAGCCGCTAGGTTTGTGAATGAATGTTTGACGGCCCTTCACATGCGCGCAAACATTCGTACAATGTACGAATATTTGCGCGCATGTCAGTGGCCGGCATAAGAAGAAATAGAGTCTATAGGAACAGTTTAAAGAGCATAATCCCGATCTTTTACATTGAGATATAGGTTTAATTGCTTTGAGGTTAATAAAGGCAGCATGGAGGTAGCCTTTGGTAGACTTGCAAGATGCGCCACCTCTAAAAACATACATAGGAACTAGACGGCGGGGAATTAACGGGTATGGTATTAAAATACGGGTGGATAATAGTTCAGTATGAACTTCCAATACGAATTAATCATAAGGTAGTTAGTTACCTGAAGCTCGAGGAGGTCAGGATAGATCATATACATATCAGAGTGCTTAGTGCGAGTTTTTTAACGTTCTCGATAGCGTAAACGTTAACCCAATTTTGTATGCAGTTGGAACAGCGCCCCGAGTGGCAAACGTACGCAAACGATCCCATTCCATACAAATATGAGCTAACTTTTACGCTATCGAGAACGTTAAAAACTCGCACTAAGCACACTGTTTTCACATAACATCTTCACATCTGTAATTTAAATATAACCTTAAAAAGAAGGCCTAATAATCACAAAGTACCTGTAGAGGATTTTCTTATTCTTACGTACAGTACCCGCAGGCTACATTATGAAGCAAAGCGCACTTTATACACGTGCCTTTGCAAACAGTGCAACTACTACCGTACCTACCGAATAAAAGATTCCAGATTTAAAACATTTTCAGGATTTCTAATTTATCCTTTTTATGGGGATTTGTAATAAGTGAGTTTCAATATAAATGGCATAGCCACATCACTGCTTTCGATTAATTATAATCATTAAGGCTCATTTGAAAAAGAGACATTAAAGCGTTGAAATGCTGTATGGGGAGTTCATCTGAGATTTTCAACTTAAAAATAAAGTCTAGAGACTAGGCAACACTCTAGTTCGATAGCGAGTGGTTCGAAGATAAATTATAATATGGGTACCATCTCAATTAGTTCCTGAAGCACTCTTGATGGAATAAATAAACGGTAGAATACGCATAGTAAAAAAATATTTCATTTCAATATTGGTTAACAAAAATTACATAGACATTTTGACATTTATATATTTTAGTTTAAAACATGTATAAAACTGGTGCAAATGGCGCTGATATACAGTGTTGCCAGATGACCGTGTGAATTTCCCCCCAACTTTTTTCGAAAACCCCCTGAAAATAGGCTTTTTGAAGACAAAAACCCCCAAAACAGTTTTTACTTATTTTAAAGAAGAAATAAAAAACCAAAAGGAATCTTTTATTTTNCATTTTGACATTATATATTTTAGTTTAAAACATGTATAAAACTGGTGCAAATGGCGCTGATATACAGTGTTGCCAGATGACCGTGTGAATTTCCCCCCAACTTTTTTCGAAAACCCCCTGAAAATAGGCTTTTTGAAGACAAAAACCCCCAAAACAGTTTTTACTTATTTTAAAGAAGAAATAAAAAACCAAAAGGAATCTTTTATTTTTTAATCAAGCTATCCCTATAACTTCAACCATCTCTAAACAATTATCACGATCATATTCACTTTCGTTATTATTATTTAAAGCATACTCGTTTTCGAAGTTAAAGATCTTTAACATGTCCGATGTGGGAACAAAATTTATGCATCTATTTGGCAGTGAAAATCGAATCCTGAGAACCGCTTCGGCAGTTTCTATTGCTGTTTGGTTGCATAATTTGTCCTTTATAATATTGACTTGTGAATAGTATTGTAGACTATAATTATTCTAATAGTAATTGCAAATTGATACTCAACAAACCTCCGAAATTTCTCCCAACTAACTTTTTCCCCCCGAATTCCCCCAAGGTCGAAAACCCCCCCGAATTTGCAGGGAATCCCCCCCATCTGGCAACTGTGCTGATATAGCCTCTCAAGGCTATCAGCTTAGGTAGGAAAAAGAACGGTCCAAAAGACAAAGTATTGTCATTTATTAAATGCTAGATACCGTACCTAATCTAGGGCTCACTGAATTTGGCCGAAAATCAAAAAAAAGATTTTTTTGATTTTCGGATATTTTTTTAAAATTATTTGTTTGTTCGTTAATGTTCGAATATAAAAATTGTTTGTTCGTCTTTTATTTATTTATAATTAATTATACAAATGATCACCGTTAAGTGGGCCTCTCTTACTAGATATCTTTATTTTTATCGCTCAGATTAATTCACTTTGATCAATTATCGTTTGTTCGACGACTATTAGTGATTGTTTGATCATAAAAACAATTAAATTCCCAATTATTAATCACTGAAATTTCAATGTGATTGATAATATTCAATATCATTAAAAATAACTGAATTTATTAAAACCGCGCTAATCGTACCTTAACGAAATGTTGATACATAAACTAAACAACATGAAAAAATAAGGCATAGTTTTTCAAGTACAAATAGTTTTGTCATGAAGTTGGCCCACTTTTGGGCCTTGTCTTTTAACTCGTGACAGATTCGTTACAGCTAGAGAGAAAAAATATAATTCAGGAAGAGTGAGAGTGAGAAAATAGACAGAGCGTCTCATGAACCCCTCGACCGTGGAGAGAGGGAAAAGACAAAGCGAGCTAGGTCGTTTTTCGTATACACAGAATTTCTTAATACAAGAGAAATTTAATATAAGGAAGAAAAATAAAGTTAACCAAAAGAAGTTTCACTTCCTTCACGTGCCCCAAGTTGCATGCGTATTAATTTTGTTCTTGAAAACTGAATATTTTGTAGCAACTCAAGAGGATTATAATTTCTATATTTTATATATTTTAAGCTCATAAGTATAAATTGCTAAATAATTGTAAATTTATCAGATTACTATTGTTAATATTTGTGACATATGTGAGAAAAGTGAACTAGGAACCGTCCACATTCATTTTTCATTTTATCTGTGTAAAGGTTGTTTTAGCGACATTACCAAACAAATGTTAGGTAATACAGTAGATGGCGATATAACCCAAGTTTGTGACGTCATATTTGTTCGTTCAATGATCGAAAGTCCGACTGGATGCCGAATCTAGCCGAATGAACGAGCGAGTACAAGTCAAGCCCGATGAAACTAAAATCTGTAGTACACTTTCAATGTAAATTTTGAAAAATTATCAAAATGATACTGTAATTCTGTAGTGGAACTATTTTATTTTGATTTTTAATCTCGTAGTAGTGGTATTGTTTCAAATATTTCTTCATTGAATTCGTATTTGACAACGTAGTGAGTTCAGTGCGAGTGCAAGGGTGGTAACGAGAAATGTGAAATATCTATGAAGTTCGGATTTTTAGGCGGTTTATTCTATTTCAATAATGAGCGGACGCCCTAGGACCACGTCATTCGCCGAGGGCAGCAAATCCGTTCGAAAGACTTTCGACAATCAACCTCCAAAACCACCTCTCGGAGGCGTAAAAATTAGCAGTAAGTATCACCTAACCATTCTTTTGTCGGCCATCGTGATTTCTTCTTACGGCAGTGACGTATTTCGAAATTGACAATTTAAAATATGGCTGCAAAACGCTAAATAATGTTCGCAGAATTCAAATAACGAATTTCAGCTTGCAATAAATCAATACAGCCCTCATTTTCACTGTAAGAGTGATTAAAAATGGACAGTATGGCCAAACTTCACGATTAAAGTGTCTGCCACATAGCCTAGCGTGTGACAGCTATTTTACGTCAAATTACAGATTTTAAAGAAATGCGTCTTAAATTTTATAACTAAAATTTGTTTCCGGTTTTGAATTACCCAAAACTACTTAATTTAAAGAATGGACACATTGACAAATAATGCCATTAGATATATCTTGATCATTCTTTTTTTTGTGTTACACATATAGGTTACAATTAATTATAAATGACGTAATTAACAAGATACTTATTTTATAGTGAAATTTATAAAGGACATGGGTCATTTTCGGCCTAGCTAATAGTGCTCTCAAGGACACGAATGAAATATCTATAGCAAAAACATTTCATTTTTACATACTTATTATATGGTGTGATAATTAAAATCACAAATAAAAAGAAATTAGCATGTCTAAGCTAAATTAATAATATTGAAGGAGTTACCATAGGTAAAATATATTTATAATTTAAAAAATCTACATTAAATCTTCTTAAAAAGGCTTTCTTTAAAAAATCTTCATTAAATCTTCTTAATATTGCAAAAAACTAGCAAAATATATTAACTTATTCAATTAATGGATTTTAAAACTAATATAAAACATATCTAAACAAAAATCTATTTTTATACTTTTAAATCCATAGAATAAATCATTACATTGATCAATAGTTATTGATCATAAGCAAAAACAAATTTACTCTTGTTTAATGTTTATTGACGTTTTACATTTGATCAGTCGTTTTCGCACTCGTGCACATTGTGGATATTAAGTGTTTCCTTGCAATATACCTGCTTATTATATTTTGTTGTGCATAAAATTAAGTCTTGGCGTTCATTGAATTAGGTCTGTGTTATAAAGTATAGTAACTAATATTTAAGCTGATGATGATGTTAAAGTATAAGTGTATTGACAGCAAATCATATGATATAGGTAACCTAAAAATCTTATCCTATTTTTTTAATATCTCTGTATCCCCATGAACAATATTGATTTTAATTTGTTTATAAAAAAAGGGATATATAGTCTGTTATTTAAACTTAATTTCATGACTCTCCTTGAACTTCGTTTAGTGGGCCGTGCAATGTATGGAGAGTGGCCCATGTCCTTTTACACTTAGAATTATGCTTGATCTGATCTATAAAATTAAAATTTTAAGTGAGTCAAGCCAGCCATTTCAATGAACTATAACCATTTTTGGAAATGTAAAACGTAAAAAAAAAATATATCTATGAGATGCGAAAAAAAAAACAAATTCCACCAATTTTATGAATACAAGGTGCAAATTTTTGGGTAAAGGAATCACTCTAGATTGATCGGACAATACAAGAAAATATCCTAACACAATAATCATGTACAGTAGTTAGCTTGTATGCTGTATAGGTTTTAGATCTTGTTAAATTTTCTTTATTGCAATTTCGATGAACATTCTAAATAATAAAAAAAATTGTGAGTATAGGGTGAATATGTGAATAGGTTTTTAAAACAGATTTAGTTTTAAATTACCAAAAATGTATTGCTTTATTTAAGTTTTATGGCATTATGTTGGATAAGATAAAAAAGCCAAACAGATCCAGAACCGATTCAAATAATGATACGATAATTTAGATAATAAGTGGGATCTCATTATATTGAAATTATTGTCTTGGTAAAAAACTTTAAAATGAGTCAATTCAATTGCATTGTTTCATTCTCAAGTTTTATTAAGTAGACAATATACTATTTTTTATGGAATTCACAAATTGGGGGCAATCATGGCATAAAAAAGAAGAGACTTACATGCAACCGTGGGTATTTAAGAGCTTAAAGATGTTTATATATTATTTCAGCAAAACGAATAATTTATTAAAATTCTATTTTAAATTTCTATTCCATCTATGACCACTGAAGTAGATACAAAAAATAGTGTTTTTTTTTAAATTGTTACTTTCACCAGAATTTCATAACAATATGTTATCAATGAAACTTATCACTTATAACCCTTTACACTGATAAAATAGGGTAGGTGATATTGTAGAACATAAATTAAAATGTGTTTTAAAGGCACTTAAAATTACCTTTATAAATGTCATAAATAAAAGAAATGAATTTGCTATAATTTAGACTATAGGTTAGATATATAGATGTATAGTTTAGAATATTTAGATAGATATAGTTGAGATATATATTATATTTCTTACATGTGTGTGCCTGAAAGTCTTCACCTTAATAGTTTGTCCTACATATTATTACAAAGGGTGCAATTTGAATCCACCCCATGTAATTTTTTTGATGTGTTACATGCATGCAGAAATAATAGGTAAATATAATTTTTAGGTTCTTATTTTTTTAGAACTTATTATTCTTGGACATACCAAATCTACCTATCTTTACTATGTGCGACTATCTCGTTACATCCCAAAAGATGTGTGAAAAATTTGTGTGTAACTATACTGAGACCTTAGAGCCCATATGTGATGGTGGGTGGTGGCACTTACGCTGTAGATGTTTATGGGCTCCAGTAACCACTAAACACCAGGTGGGCTGTGAGCTCATCCCCTATGTAAGCAATAAATAAATAAACAAGAACATTAATGCTGACTATAAAACAGTAGTTTTATACAAAATCATTCTAAATCTGTTCTGAAAAAATCCAAATTAGTAAAAAATTACATTTAGCAGTAGTATCCCTACCAATTGACAACTGTTTAAAAATATTGATACAGTAACATCATTGCCATAAACAGTTTTTTAAAGATTAGTCTTACATTTTTAAAGCAATAAAATAATACCATAGGTGAAATGTAACATTAAGTTTTTTTTGCAGGTGGATTTTGATATCTAAATTAAGTTATTTTACAGCTTACCAATGTTTAATTGCAATTGTAAAAATATCATAGGTTTTTAATGTGGAGACACAAATTTTATGTAAATAAAATAATAAGCAAAAATCAAACTCAACTTAAGAGCAAGATTATACATGAAATTATTCAGATAACATTAATTTCCAGATAGTGGCTTGTTTACTGTACACTTTAGGAACTGATTGTGACCAGAATACACTAAGAATGGTAGGAGAATTATTTCATGTTAGTATACTATTTCAGACCTATATGTCTTAATTTCAAGAGATAGTGGATTATGAAATATCAGGTCTGAAATCAGAAAAATCATGAAAGCTGAAAAAAATACTGAATATGACATCTGAGATCTAACACTAATCAGATTCATAACAAAGAATTGAAATTAATTTAAACTCCAGTTCATCAGTAAATGAACCAATTTTGGTTGCTTCTTATATACATAGCCAATGAGTTCTCATTCCAAAAGTATTACACTCTGATTAAGATCACTATGTAAATACTGCTATGCTCCTTGAGACATGAGGTTTAAATCTTGTCAGTCTCACCAACTTGGACAAATGTAAAGTTATATATTTTTGTTTTAATTTTATTGCTAGATATTACTCTGTCATGGTGGAAATCATTTGGGAACATATAGTAGGTATGTATTCTCCTAGATTTTAGAAATTTAGTGGCATATCTATATGATTTTTGCAACAGAAACATTACACCTGATAGTGATGTTTCTTAATGTTACTTAATCTGGCATAATAAATTTGAAAAAATTTGAATCCAAGGCCTAATTGATAAAACACCCCATATAATCGTGGTGAATATAATATATAATCGTCATAAGAAAGATTTCACTATACAGCAACTCAGATCCATACAAATGTCTAACATGCTTATGAATTATTTCAATGATGAAGTACAGGATATTAATAATAGGTAAAAAATATTTAAATATCTTTGGTCTGGTAAAAAAGAGATTGATTCAATGCAAGTTCTTGCAGGCAATTTTGAAGTCATTTTAGTGATTTGGATTAATTTCATTGATTGGAAGCATTGTGTATATTTTTTTTTCCAAATTGGCTTTTATCCACACTGCTCATCAGATGGTTGTTTTTTTTTTTTAATTTTGTTGCTTAGATGGGTGGACCAGCTCACGGCTTACCTGTTGTTAAGTGGTTACCAGAGCCCATAGACATCTACAACATAAACGCTACCACCAATCTTGAGATATGAGTTCTAAGGTCTCCGTTTTTACAGTACAACAGCTGCCCCACCATTCAACCCGAAACGCATTACTGTTTCACGGTAAAAATAGGCATGCTGGTGGTGCCTACCCGTGTGGACACACAAGACGTCCACCACCAGTAATTACCCAAATTCAATAATTTTGCGGGTTTGATTTTTATTTCACGACTAGCTGACCCGGCAGACTTCGTAGTGCCTCAATCGATAAATAAAAGACCTAAACTTTTGTATAATATAAACTTAAAACAAACAAAAGGAATCCCTCCGACGGGGGACACATCAAAGGAAAAACAAAATTGTTATTTTTATTTAATTCCAAGCATTTTCATATTTATCTACCTTTTAAACCTTCTCTGGACATCTACAAATAATTCAAGACCAAAATAAGCCAAATCGATCGAACCGTTCTCGAGTTTTAGCGAGACTAACAAATAGCAATTCATTTTTATATGTATAGATTGTATAGATGTTATTTCCTTCACCGTGGAAGTCAATCGTGAACATTTGTTAAGTACGTATTTCATTAGAAAAATTAGTACCTGCCAGCGGGATTCGAAGACTTTTGCATCGACTAGATANAATTCAAGACCAAAATAAGCCAAATCGATCGAACCGTTCTCGAGTTTTAGCGAGACTAACAAATAGCAATTCATTTTTATATGTATAGATTGTATAGATGTTATTTCCTTCACCGTGGAAGTCAATCGTGAACATTTGT